CACCCTGTAGTTTTAATCCTGTTAATCGAAACAGTTATGGGAGCGAAGGACAACATGTGTATTTGGTTTTAAGTGTAATGAAATGATAAAGAGAAGAAAAAAAAGTCAACTGTTTCACGTCATTTTCATTTTAATCTTTTTCTCCTTTTCTTTCGTTTCACTTTGTTGATATGATACAAAAAGAAAAGTAGTAACCACTTTTTTTACCTTGATAGATCACAGTATTAGCATCGTTCGAATTAATTGAAAGATGGCGTTAAATTCAACATCTTTTCAAAATGCAATTGCTCTCATCACAGGAGGCAATAAGGTAAACACATCTTGTGAAGAAAATAATTTGATGATTTTCCTAATACTACTATAGGGTATTGGATTTGAAGTTGCTCGTCAACTTGGTGAAGAAGGTCTTGTAGTTCTCATTGCAGCTCGAGATAAAATACGAGGTGAAGAAGCCGTTTGCATATTAAATAATGAAAATATTCAGGCAAAATGGATTGAACTTGATGTAACAAAACAAGAAACAATCGATAATGCAGCTCATCAAGTTTTAAATGACTATGGACGACTCGATATTTTGATCAATAATGCAGGCATTCTTTTAGAAGGTGAGCCTCCAAGTGAAACGCTGATGACTAAAATGCGTGAAACGTTCGAAACAAACTTTTTTTAGAGCTTTTGCTGTAACGAAAACATTCCTTCCTTTGTTAAAAAATTCCGATAAAGCTCGAATTGTTAATGTATCAAGTCGAATGGCTTCCTTTGGAAAGCCATTAGTAGCAGTTCCTAGTCGGTTAGCTTATGGTACATCTAAAGCAGCTCTTAACATGATGACTGTTCAATTCAACAAGGAATTCCGCATGCAAAACTGGAATATTAAAATCAATAGTGTCTCTCCAGGCAAGTATTCACTAACACTGAAAATCAGCTTTTCTTGATGTTTTTTTCTTCTCAGGATTAGCAAGAACCGATATGAATGATAATAACAAAGCCTATCCTCCACCAAGTCATGCTGCTCGAGTTATTGTTCATTATGCAACATTGCCTGACGATGGTCCATCTGGAAAATTTTTTGATTCACAAAAAGACGAAATGCCATGGTAGAACGA